CTTGAACTCACGCCGGGCGCGTGTGCATGCGTGCCCAAGATCCTGAGAGAAGGGTGGAGAAGGGATTGTGGCATGGCCATCCCCCCTGGGGGGGTGATTTCTTGCTTTCGGTCTCTCTGTCTCTCTCTGTCTTTCTGTCAAGCGCATGCGCCCTATAGCAAAAAACCTCTCCAGAAAAAGAAAGAAAATCAGAAATGTTGGGATGGCATAACTATACCAAGTAGCTGTTGCATTGGCTATAGCTTACTAGTTCAGGCTGAACATTCTCTCAAGCACTTCTTCAGGCATGCAGGAAACAGGGGTAACAGGTTTAACCTGTTCTCCCAGAAGTGTCCGTCCAGCAATTTCAAATGTATGAAAAAGGCCCCCCCATATCTCCTGGCCTATCTATACACTCTCCTGTTTTCATCTTGACTTGCCAAGATGAAACTACGTAGTTTCTATGTAGTTCCAACACAGCCTTCCAGTTACCTGTAGAGAAGCCAAAATCCACCATGAATAGCATATACCTGGCAACTTTTCTTGCCTTCTGTTGAGTCCACCTGAGGGTAATTTGTTCACAAAGCCACTAACCAAGTAAATCAGAATTTACTTGATGCAGCTGACTAGTAATAGTCAGGAGTCCTGCACAGCAATAGATCTGCCCAGCATAGGATTCAAAACCTGGTCTGCAACTGAGTCCATCATTAGACTTTATGCTGGATAAAATACATTCAGTTGCCTTTTCCACAGTAATAGCATTGAGCTTCCCCAACAGAGTGATAGTTGCTATTGTACAAAAAGAGGATCTCGTATCAATTTCTGTTTCATAAGAGAATTTCACATCCTGTGTAGCAGCTGGTCTCTGGCCTGTACTGTGTTCCACCTTTATCTTTTTAGACTGGCCCACTGTTCCAGTGCTCCTGTATGTTGATAAAACTAACACAGTGCATGTTGGAACTTCCAGCAGACCAACTAATCTACCAGCTTAGTGAGACCCCAGATGTCTCACTACAGAAAGAACTAACTTCTTTCTGTAGATCGTGAACATATTCTGTAACTATTCATACCAGTGTCATTAACACTACCATATAGAATGAGAATCTGGACATCCCGTGAAAGATGACGATCATGCTCAGTGCTAGCACTTACTCCACCGTACTCATGTTGACATGATGTAATAAACATAGCATTTCTTCTTGACTCATAGGATGAAGTTGCCCCTTGAAATCCATTACTGTCGGACCCCAGTAGATGCCACTTATTCTCAAATACTCATGTGGTCTTCACAATCTTTGTTGAAGCCATAGAACATGATATAATCTGCATGTTTCAACAAAAGGGTTTCAGGTGCATCTTCCTTGGCGATAACATGCTTCTGTGGCATGCCCTTGCATGTCTGAAGCATAATCTTAAAATCCAATTGTCTTTCTGTATTTTGTTTGTTTGTGAAGTATTGTGACAGCCTCATACTGATTGATGAGTAGTGTAAAAGATTGTTTTTGCCTTTTTTTTTTTTTTTTTTTTTAGCTTTAGCTTGCCTTGCTACCTCAGGACTCACAGAAATGACAGAAGAAACTTTATTCTTAGGTCTACTTAAAATTGAGTTACCTAACTAGTTCAGGTTAGTGTGATGGTGGTCCTAAAGAGTTAGTTTGATGGACCAACAGAAGGCATGGAGGTTAAGGTGGGTCCCACATGGCCAACATCGTGGTTCAAGTCTGGACCTGGTGGCTTGAAAATCATGCCGTGTGCATGTGCATATGTGTCTGCCTGCCCAAAATTCTAAGAGGAGAATGGGTCATCCTCCCTGGGGGATGATTTCTCAGTTTTCCTCTTTCTTCAGCAAGTGCATGTGTCCTATAGCAAACCTAAAAAAAAAAAGTTACAGTTTTGATTAATACATGTGAGTATGTATTCATTTGTTCTAATAGCAACATTTCAAAAATGAAAATAATAAATGAAATCCCGAAGAATCCTAGGGTTCTGGAGAGCAGTTTTATTTTTCAGTACTATCTTTTTTTTTGGAGAGATTTTCACTGTAGGGCGTGTGCGCTCGCCAGACAGAGACATAGAGACAGAAAGCGAGAAATCACCCCCCATGGGGGGATGGTCACGCCTAATCCCTTCTCCTCCATTCTCCTCTCGGGATCTTGGGCACGCACGCACACGCGCCCGGCGTGAGTTTTAAGCCACTGGGTCCGGGACACGAACCGCGGTCGACTACGTGGGAGTCCAGCGACATAGCCATTATGCTAACTGCTGGTTCCCAGCACTACCTTTTGACCTACTTTCTTGCACCTATCTCCAGGTAGTCTTCCAGTCTCTAGACCAACCTTTTCCAGGTGTATCCCTTGTTAATAATTACTTCTTTGTCACAACATTGGTTTAAACGGTGCTAGAAAGATTATTTTCGTTACAAAACTTCCCAATATCTGTAATGTGCATTGTGACTGTTAGAGGGTGTCCATAACAAATGCAGGTTCCCAAACTCGATGCCTTCTTCCTTCAAAGAGCATAGTATATAATGGAACATCCTTTGGGAAAGCTAAACAACTGCAGTGAAAAGGTTTGTGTTTTTTGCCGTTGTCACGAAATTTGCACATTGCTCACTTCTACATTGGGCATTGTTAGTTGATTATTGAATGAATGGGATTGATGGGGAGAGGATCTGAATCTGGGAAAGAAGGGGTCAGCCACTATTAAGGGATAGAAGGAGAAAGAAAATTGCATACTGTAAACATTTATTACATTTTCTAGTCCCTTTCTCCATTTGAAACTGTTTTCTAGATAGCTACTTTTTTCACTCATTGTTCTGAGAACCATTCCTATGGTTAATCTGAGTCAATTAGATAAAACTTAAGTGTCATCTACATTTCTCATGGTTTTATAGTAAAGTCCCTCTATGAGATGGTCACCTGATCAGGATCACGTATTTCTAACTGGATTTTCAGCTTGTTGAGGGCAGAGACACATTCATAATTCTTTATTCCATTGTCATATGTGCTGTGTTTGACATTTGAGTAGTTGTATACGATGACTGATATGTTTTTTTAAAGAATTATTTTTATTTAACTTTATTTATTATTATTATCATGATTATTTTCCAGTTTGATCTGAGAGAGACAGAGAGAGAGAGAGAGGAAGGGAGGAAGCAAGCCACCAGGTCCGAGACTTGAACTATGGTCGACCATGTGGGAGTCTAGCGCCTTTAACCACCATGCCACTTGAGATTCTTAGAGCATAAGTCAAACCAGTCTATTTATTTATTTAAAAAAAGTTTTTTAAGGTTTGTTTTATGGTACTTGACAGACAGAGACAGAGAAGGAAAGTGAGAAATCACCCCCCCAGGGTATGGTCATGCTTCTATCCCTTTTCCTCTTGGGATTTTGAGCACATATGCACATGTGCCTTCCTGGCATGTTTTTCAAGCCATTGGCTCTGACTTGAAACCATCGAGTTGGCCATGTGGGATCCAGCTGCCTTAACTACCACGCCATGAGCTGGCCCTTAAGAGTTTCAGGTTTTTAACTTTTATTTCCTGCCACTTAGCATTTGGTTTCGGGAATTTTTTGCTGTTTTCCTGTGGAATGGCAGAAGGCACCAGCTTGGCATTACTTGGTATTCTAGCTCACTGTAGTTTTTGTCTTCATTGAAGGTTATTTTAATCTCGTGTTCATATTTCCAGTATATGAGCATCACATACTCACATACACATACATACACACATTACATGCATGTATATAGGCACACACTAACACACACTTCAAAATAATTTTTAGGGATTATAGAGAGTCTCAATCAGTGATCTGAATGTCAGTGCTGTGATATTAAAGTTTCAGATAAAACTGAAGTGGCATGTATTATTTCATGAGGATTTTGTTTTTAAAGAATTATTTTTTATTTATTTTATTATTATTATTTTTAGAAAGAGAGATTGTTGCTATAGGGCGTTTGTATTCACTGAAGAGACAAACAGCAAGAAATCACCCACTGGGGGGAATGTCCATGCTGTAGTCCCTTCTCCTCTAGGGATTTTGGGCATGCATGTACACACACCTGGCGTGAATTTTAAGCCACTGTGTCTGGAAGTCACACAACAGTTGACTACATGTGAGTCCAGCAACACAACCATTTCACCATCTGCTGGTCTCATTACAGTATTTTTAATTTAATTTAATTGGAGAGGTTTTTGCTATAGGGCGCGTGCACTCTCCAGAAAGAGAGAGACAGAGAGACCGAAAGCGAGAAATCACCCCGCAGGGGTGATGGCCATGCTGCAATCCCTTCTCCTCCTTTCTCCTCTTGGGATCTTGGGCACACATGCACACGCACCCGGGGTGAGTTTAAGCCACTGGGTCCAGGACTTGAACTGCTATCGACTACATGGGAGTCCAACGACATAGCCATTATGCCAAATGCTGGTCCCGCAGTATTTTTTAATTTGACCAGAGAAAGACAGAAAGAGAGAGGGAAGGAAAGTGAGAATGCAAGACACCAGATCTGCTACTCAAATGGTCAGCCATGTGGGAGTCTAGTGCCTTAACCACCATACCACCATCAGCCTGAGGGTTTTTGTTTTTATTTATTTGTTTATTTTTTTAAGAGAGATTTTTGCTATAGGGTGCATGTGCTTACCAGAGAGACAAAAGTGAGAAATCATGCCCCCCCTCCCCAGAGGGGGGGATGGCCATGCCACAATCCTTTCTCCATTCTCCTCTTGGGATCTTGGGCACTCGTGCACTTGTCCCTGGCATGAGTTTTAAACCACCGGGTCCCAGACTTGAACCACAGTCAACCACATGGGAGTCTGGCGATGTGACTATTACGCCATCTGCTGGTTCCGGGTTTTTGTTTTTAGTAACTATGTATTATAAGCTGGCTTGTTTCTTGTTATGTGCTTATCTCTTAAGATTTGACGTTAGAAAGCAGTTCGTGTTCATTGATGGTTCCTAGTATAGCCCCTGATTTTATTTGCATGGTCACTGTATTTAGTTTTCCCTGGTGTAATCTCCATATAGGTAGAATACAGAGAGATGGATGAAAGTTTGGCCAACCTCTCAGAAGATGAGTATTACTCGGAAGAGGAGAGAAATGCTAAAGCAGAGAAGGAAAAGAAGCTCCCCCCGCCACCTCCTCAAGCCCCACCTGAGGAAGAGAATGAAAGTGAGCCTGAAGAACCATCTGGTAAGTTGTAGTAACCAACCATGGTTTTGTTTTACTTTACTAATAAAGTAGATTTATTCTTATTCCATAATGTTATTTATATTTATATTTTCATCTTTGATTTATATTCTAATGCTGGGGTTCTTGTCATGTTCGTGTTAATGTCTGTGTGTATGTATGTACAGGGGACCTCCAAAGTTGGTGGAGAAAAGAAATTAGAGGATGAGTTTATTTTGGTGCAAAGATTTTTCAAATTTTTATGTGTAGTTTTTTCATTATATGCATTTCCATGAACTTACTAAAAAATCCTCATATTGGTATATATACATATACATACATAGTGGTAAACGGCACTGGTATTTGTGTGTGTGTGTGTGCATATATAGGAGGAAAGAAAAGGATGGAAGTAAAGAGCAGTGGTTGTATGAGGTGGTTGGAAAGTAGGAGAATATGAAAGATTAGAGAAAATATACAGAAAGGCAAAGAACCAGACCTCTCAGTGACAACTCTGATTCAGACCTTAGCTAGAATTGTTCAGAAAATTTTCTGGATAAATTCCACATTTACTCCAGGTACTTTCTGATAAAATCTTTATGTTGTGGACCAGTTTTGAGATGTGCCTTTTCTTGGTGAACAAATGTAAAAGTATATTTCTGAAGTATTGCCCAAGTACCTGATACCGTTTACCTATTGAGCCCTCCAGTCAAAGGAATGGTACAAGAAAAAGCTCTGAAGAACCTAAGCTCAGACAGGCTTCCTTTTAATGTGGAAAGGTTATTGAATTCCTTGTATTGATTTCAGATCTTCCGTTTTAAAGAGTTCTTCCTGACATCCGTCTGTCCTGAGTCCTAGTTTTCTTAGGCTAATCAGGACTAATTGGAGATACTGTTGGGGAGAAACCAAGCCAAATCTTAATTAGTTTCTCATATCTTCCTCCCTTAATGAACAAGGGAGGAATGGTAAGACACTGTCAAGAGGACAGTGTCCTTCCCCACCCAATTTTTCAGAGGATATGTGTGCCAGAGAGAGAGAGAGAAAGTGAGTAAGCACCCCCCATGGGCATGACTGTGCCGCAGTTCCTCCTCCTCCATCTTTCCCTCCTTTCAGGATATTGGGCACCCATGCATCCAAACCTGGAGTGTTTTCCAAGTTGCTGGATCCAGGACTCAAATTATCGTGGTTGGCTGTGCAGGATCCAGCGGCCTTAGCTACCACACCACAGACTGGCCCTTCATTAACTCTTATTTATTTTGTTTTTATTTAATTTAAATTATTATTATTATTTAAATTTGATCAGAAAGATAGAGAGAAAGTAAAAAAGCAAGTCAGATCCAGGACACAAACCGTGGTCGGCCCTGTGGGAGTTTAGCGCCTTAATCACCATGCCACCTGCCAGCCCCTCATTATTTATTTTTTTACTTTTTTACTTTTTTACTTTTTACTAAAGTCCTCTCCTGAAAATATTTTCCTTATGTCTGGGCCCATTTACCCCACCAATTCTTTTACTTCTGTACTTTTTACAAAGAAAGTGCTTGTTTGGACACTGTCTGCTATATCTTGCATTATTTTCAGATACCCAGGTTAAGACATTTTTCATTTGAAAAGTTATCTTTTGTTTCAGTCCGATTTTTTTTTCTTAAAAAGGGTTTTTCTCCTCTTAGATGTTACTATAAATTACCAGAAGTTATTTTTTTTTAAAGGCAAACAAAAAAAGGAATATTACTACTGATATTTCATATGAGAGGATTACAAGTTAAGTGTTAATTTAAACCTAGGTTTGAACCAGCCTTGTAATACAGTGGTTAAGCGCAGTGCGTAGAGGGGCAGATCCCCCTAGCCAACTGTAGTTCACATTCTGGCTCAACTACATGAAGCACACGCTGGTTATGTGTGGTGTCCCAAATCCTGATGGGACGGAGAAATGGAAGAAAAAGGATGTGGCATGACTGTATCCCATAGGGAGGTGCTCGCTCTCTCTCTCTCTCTCTCTCTCTGGTGAGTGCCTGTGCCCTCTGAAATAAAAAACAAACTCGGGTTTAGATTTTATCGAGCAAATTCTGGCTAAAACTCTTAAAAATAAATATTTGTTTATTTTTGTTTCTTTCATGAAGGAGAGGAAAAAAGAGATGGATAGATAGGTCCTCTTGACAGTGTCTTACCATGCCACAATCCTTTCCCCAACCTCCCAGCCAGCCAGGATCATAGGCACTTGTGGCTGTACCCAGCACATTTATGTTGACTCAGAATTGAACCTGAGCCTCCTGTGTGCTCCAGCATTGCACGGCAGTCCTCTGCTGTCTGTTCCACCACAGCCCACGCCAAAATAAGAATTTGGAATATACAGGATTATAACAAAACTTAAGAAAGAAATACAGTTTGATAACATAGAAAATGATTGGATTTTTGTGTTTGATTCTCCAGAGTCAGGAGTCTTCTAAGGAGTGGTTTTCTAAAAACTTTCTTAAAATGATTTCTTGGGGGGCCAGCATGTGGTGTGGTAGTTAAGGGCGCTGGACTCCCACATGGCTAACCGTGGTTTGAGTCCTGGACCTGGTGGCTTGCTTTCTCACTTCTCTCCCTTCTCTCGCTCTGGTCCTCTCTGGTCAAATTAAAGTAAGTAAGTAAATAAATAAAGTTAAATAAAATTAAAAAAAATGATTTCTTGGGCAACTCCTCTTTGGAAGTTTCTAGTGTTGATGGTGTATTACTTTTGTGACTAACTAGACAAGTATACTTTCTCTATATCTCAACATCATTTCTTTTTTACTTTTCTTTCTCTTCTAGTCTTACACATCTAGCTCTTTCCTTATTTCTGTCCTTGTCTCCCTTTACTTCCTATTCCTTTCTTTTTGTTTCTTGTTTTTCTTCTACTTTTGCTGTAGATCTGCTAATGAGATAGGAGGTACTAACCTTTCTGATATTTGTCATAGCTCAAGAGGCTGCTGATCTCTTCGAGGTTCTTAAAGTGTTATGCAGCGAGGGTCCGATACCTCAGATGACTTCCTTCACCCTTTTTTTTTGTATGTGTGGTTGCCAGTGTTTCCAATAAATAAATGATTTACCGTAAGTACCAAGTTGATAAACACTTTGCCCTCTGAACATTTTTTTTTTTTTGGCAAGAGTTTTGCTATAGGGTACATATGCTTGCCGAAGAGACAGAGAAAGTGAGAAATAACCTCCCCAGGAGGGATGGCCATGCTGCAGTCCCTTCTTCTCCATTCTCTTCTTAGAATTTTGGGCATGCACACACACATCCCTGGCATGAGTTTCAAGCTGCCTGGTCCAGGACTCAAACCGCGGTCAGTCATGTGGGAGTCTAGCACCTTAACCACTTTACTACTACCTACTGGACTGTGTCCTCTGAAAAAAATTTTTTTAAAAAATTTTATTTGTTACTATTTTTTAGTTTGACCAAAAAGAGAGAGAGAGGGAAAATGAGAAAGTAAACCGTCAGGTCTGAGACTCAAACTGTAGTCAGCCATGTGGGAGTCCAGTGCCCCTAACTGCCATGCCACCTGCTAGACCCCTCTGAAAAATTTAGAGCAAATCTTGTTAGTGTTTTCTTTTTGTGAAAGAATTTTTTAAAATCGCTATTAATTTATTATTATATCAATTTGCTATAGGGCACATGTGCTCACCAGAGAGAGAGACAGAGACAGAGACAGAGAGAGAGGAGGTGGTGGGGGCGAGTGAGAAAGCAAGCTGCTTGGTCCAGTACTCCCAACTGCAGTCTGCCATGTGGGAGTCCAGCTTTTTTTTTTTTTTGGAGAGGTTTTTGCTATAGGGTGCGTGCACTCGCCAGACAGAGAGAGAGAGACAGAGAGACAGAAAGCGAGAAATCATCCCCCAGGGGGGATGGCTACGCCTCAATCCCCTTCTCCTCCTTTCTCCTCTCGGGATCTTGGGCACGCACCCACACGTGCGCGGCGTGAGTTTTGGGTCCGGGACTCGAACTGCAGTTGACTACGTGGGAGTCCAGTGACATAGCCATTACGCTAACTGCTGGTCCCGTGGAAGTCCAGCTTCTTAACCACCATGACCATTGCTGGCCCCATGAAAAAAGTTTTTTGTTTACAAATGTCAGGCATTGTTCCCACTAAAAGAAATCTTACGGCCAGCAGATGGTATAGTAATTAAGGTGCTGAACTCCCACCTGGCCGACTATGGTTCAAGTTCCAAACTCGGTGGCTTGAAAATCATGCCAGGCCTGTGTGCATGCATGTCTAAAATCCCAACAGGAGAATGGAGAAAAGGATTGTGGTATGTCCATCCCCCTGGGAGTGGGTGATTTCTCACTTTCCTTTTCTCTCTCTCTCTTTCTCTCTCTCATGAGCCCATACACCCTATGGCAAAACCTAATAAAAATTTAATAAGTAAAGTCTTGGCAAAGGGATCTAGGTTTTGGGAAACTGACTTTATTCTTTTGTATTCTAGTTAATTCTAATCCAGTTCAATTTAAATAAGTTTCCATAATTTGGAGGGGAGATTTTAAATTTTGTTTAGTTGAGAGTATCTTCAGTGCTCATAGATGTGTTGTCAAAAGCTAAAACTTGCCAATTATTTGTGGTTATGAAGTTTTTGAAAGTTTCTGCAGTGAATTGGGAAAGTACTTCTCTCTTTTCTTTTCTTTTTTTTTTTTGAGAGGTTTTTGCTATAGGGTGCATGCACTTGCCAGACAAACAGAGAGAGACAGAAAGCGAAAAATCACCCCCCGGGGGGATGGCCATACCGCAATCCCTTCTCCTCCATTCTCCTCTTGGGATCTTGGGCATGCACGCACACGTGCCCGGTGTGAATTTAAGCCACTGGGTCCGGGACCTGAACCACGGTCCACTACGTGGGAGTCCAGTGACATAGCCATTATGCTAACTGCTGGTCCCAGTACTTTTCTCTTGTAGACAGTGGCAACTTACTAAGCCTCTGTGTTATAGTTTAGAAATAGACTGGGCCCTGACAGTGAACCATGAAATATATATATAATATATATTTTTAATAATTTTTTAATTTTTAAATTTATTTTT